TGCCGTGGCTGGCTATTCCTACTAGAGGGTGTCTGTGTTTTGTAGGCCTTGATCTCATGGAGAATGGCGTCCTTTCGTTCTGCTCTTGCAATTATTACTACAATATCGTCGCCGTCTTCCTCGAGTGGTTCTACTTCTCGCTGGAGGGTAGGGTGCATAGTGTCGTAGAATCGTCACTTCAGGATGTATTTGGAGATACTTCCTTTCTCTATTCGGTCCTTATACATCATCAGGTCCGTAGCCACATCGGTGATTCTCTTGACATGCGTTCCATTAACTTGCTGGAGCTGGTTGAATTTGTTGTATAGGAGGTCATTGGTTATAGAGGATTGGAATCGTCCTTTCAGGTAATCGAGAACTGTAGATCCTCTTAATCTTACATTCCCGCCGTATTCCTTATAGCATTGGTGGTATGCGTCGGTTGCCTTTCCTTCACAGAATGATCCAATGTATAGTCCGGTTGTAGAGTCTTCCACATCTTTCCCTTGCAGGAGAAGATACTGTGTGAGTTCCGTCACCCATTAGTCAAAGGCTTCGGGTTTGAGGTTTTTTCCTTCTCCTGTGAACTTCGCTGGAAGGTGGAGTTTGAACTTAGGAGATTCAAAAGCTGCGGGTACTTCCTCTTCTTCAGGCCTAGCCTGGGATTTTCCTCCTCCAGAGGGTCCTCCTCCTGTGCTAGCCATATCTGATTCGCTACTGGATTCGGGGTCGATTGGAGGTTCAAAGGAAGGCTTTTTTGCTGGAGTAGAAGGGAATTCTCCTGGAGGTTGTGTGTCTTCCGTGTTTGCAGGATCGCCCGGCTCTTTAACAGAGCACCGGTGTTGTTTCATTCTTGTAAGGTCTTGCCGTGGGATTTGCTTCCTACTCCTGGTCGTCAAAGACTCTATCTTGGGTATGAGAAGAAGCCGAATGTGCCGTGATTCTGCCGCTTCTCTCCGCTCGCGTTCTGAGGTGGATATCGATAGGTTGATCAAGCCTAAATCCGGGGACAGGTTCTTAACCACTTGCTGAGGTTAAAAAAATATAACGTGTTCGCAAGATGCTAATTACGTTATCAGTAATAGATACAATAGTTGGCAGGTAGCCTGCTCTTCCAGAGAGGAGGCGAGAGCTGAGAACTAAAGGAGGCTTCGAGGGTGTACTGGGGAACAAAGAAGTAACTGTTCAACCAAGTATATTGAAATACTGTCTGTCGAAGTCTGCCTTTTCTATCGTAGAAACAGGCAGTCTTTAAATACACAAATCTGTTCATATCTAGCATGAACGAAACTAATCAAAGGTATCAATCGATACACTTTGGTAAAACTCCTTAAGTATCAAAGCGATACTTAAAACAAAACATAAAACAAAACCAAGTTTCAAAGCGATACTTAAAACAAAACATAAAACAAAACCAATAACCGAGTACCCGTACCGGTTACAACTCTTCCATACCTTTTCCACAAGTAAGTTTTCATATCTCCCTAAATATTTTCAATTAAGTTTAGGTCTGGTGACTATGGTGGCCAGGATAATATATCCACCCCATTCCTTTTTCTACACTTTGTAGAATATCTGTGATTAAACCAGTAGTTAGATTATATTCTTAAGTAAGTATTTCTATATCAAGAAACAGAAAATACAATAATTATAAGGAGGTAGAACCTACCCTTTATGCCCTGGTGCACCATCTTCAACAACCCTAGTCCAACCAAATCTCTCACAATACTCATGCCAGAAAGGAAGTAAAACTGGATCCAGAATATACTTAGTATACCCATAAGAATCCACTTTAACCTTTCCTGATACTACCACTAGCTTTGACCTCAAATTCCCACAAAAGGCTCCCCATACCATAACTGTCTCCCTTTCTGACTCTCAGACCTCATCAATGCAATCCTGATCATATTCCTCAGAAGGTTCTCTTATCACCCATCCTCTCTGCCCAAATCCAGCTATAGAGAATGAGGTTTCATCAGTTCATATGATTCTGGACCAGTCTCTTAGTTTCCAAGCTCTTTTTCTCATACACTAACCAAATCTAATTAGTATATTTTTAGGGCGCAATCCCCATCTAAAATATCTTTTAGTTATGTAAACACTTGAATCTTCATTAAAGTACTTACTTCTTGCATAGTTTTCTTTTATTTAAATTAAAACTCTTAGCTGCTTTCCTAATTGTCCCGGATGATGCCTTTAATCTCTTCTCTTCTTTAATATCCTCCCAAGAGAGTCTTCTATTTTTTTTATTTTCTTTAATAAAAGACTTTAGATCAAGTAGATCAGACTCCTGGAAGATTGGAGGTCTTCCTGTTCGCTGGTAGTTGGAAGGACCACCTGTTTCCCGATACCGTTGATAGATGCGAGCACAGGTACTATGGTGAACTTTAAGGCCTATTTTTTCCTCCAATTCAGCAGCTATCTTTCTGAAAGACTACTCCACTATTTCTTGGAGAGCAATAATACAGATCCGGTCATCACGCGTAGTTTCCCGCTCAAAGCGCTGTCACTTCTTCGTCAACAATCACCACCACTCAATATTTCGTGGACTAATTGCTAAATTATTTAATTTTATTATTATTTCAACTTTATGTACATATTCATTTAATTAAACTACTTATGCTCACTTCTGCGGGTTCCCTTTACCCTCATAGTGCTTTTCTGAAATGGTTTGGCAGGTGGTGGTGGATATAGTGAGTATTGTAGTGATGGGGGTTGGGAGTAGAGTTGCGATCTTGTAGGAAGCGGTTGCTACTGTGTCGCACTACTTCTTTCCCCCCCCTCGTACTATCGGTAACGTAGGCAGAGGCCTAGTGCATTCATAGAGGTTGCGTTGCTAACCACCTAGGTCCAGCGCGACATCCCGGTCTAATGCGCTCTACTCGATCAGAACATTGCCCCGTGTAACCTACATGTAGGTTATAAGCTGAGTATATGTAGTGTTAGAGGCACTGTGGATATAATGCCCAGAGATGCGTTGTTCTTCATAGGATAGGAGAGGCCGGGGGGCTTATATATAATACATGGTGAAGATCCACTTTTTGCCTCTCAAATTGAGACCACGTCCTCTGGTCGTAATTGATTGCGCGGCCATTCACGAGTCCGATAGTAGCTCTTTAGGAGCTCTCATGACACCCCTTTCCCGCTCTGAGTCTCCAATTCCTTCCGATCAAACCTCTATACTAACTGTCCGAGCATGTCACTCCAGGAGTTGGTTTGTTTACTATTTCGACTGACGTTAGTCTACCTCGAGGATCTGGTCAGGGTAGGCAAAGACCAAAGCTAGCCTAAATACCAGCACAATTCTAGCACTCGAGCTCGCCTGCTAGGGGTCGGCTCCGGTCACGTGGGGCCGTCGACACCCGCCTTTGCATTTGCCATGCACGCATTCTTAAGAAGTTGTTTCCATAATCGATGTCTCTGGGCACGAAAAAATCCGTTTACCACCGCAGACGATTTCTGATATAAGTTAATTCCTGGGTTCCCCTTGGCGTTTTTAATGTGTGCAATAATAATGCCTGGCTCGCTTTCCTATGATACGATAGGGGTTCCCCCAATCGGAGACAGTGACTGCCCCCACTGCCTCCCGTAATACCACCAACAGATGCGGGATTTCTCTTTCCACATTGACACCAAGAGCGTGTGTACGGTAGTTCTATTAGCGAGTATCATACCCGATGGGGACAAATTCCTACTTTCTCTGGGCGAGGATGCTTGAGTTAATTTCCAGAAGCAGGGCGTTACCAAGGGCTCCCCAAATAGCGGTCCTACCTTCAGAGCTTGTGGAGGATGGCAGGTGTAGCCCCCCAAATGCGGGGACTCCTATGGGATCTTTAACATGATAGAGAAACAAGTGGTAGGACCACCACGTCAACACTGGCGGAGCGTGATACGCTGTTACGCACGTGTGTACGGATTCACAAAAGAAGGGAGGGAAGGAACATATGCTCGAGCATAGAGAGTCCTCAGCCTCCACATTGCAGTGTGCGCAAGATCTTAGGTTCAGTTAAATTACCAACTTGTTCATTGGTGGGAATTCCTATACCGCAGCTACAGGACAACCAAAGGTATTATTAATTTTGTTCCTTCCCTAGCCAAATGGCTTGGGCGTGGATGATGCGTGGATGATGATCGGAATGTGGGACGAGGGAAGAAGCCCCCTTCGAGGCCTCCTTACGCCCGTACTATGCCCTTGTTCGGATGCGAGGCGACACCCAAAATTAAGGGTGGTTTCATGATAATAATATTAATTTTAAAAATTAGCGGCAACCGGCATCGTGGGAGCAACCATGCAATACAATATCGTGGGTTATGACGAACGGGGCTTCTTAACGGAGGACTCTCTCACCTACCGGTACTGTACTAGTACAGTACCGTACTTGTCATTGTCTGCCGAATTACCCTATCCGCACAGTTAGCGGCGATCATCTCTCGGAACGGACCGACTCCGAGTATTACTGATGCACGAGGTCCCGGACGGGTAGCCAATAGTTGTATCGTTCTCCCGATAACGAAACCATGGTCGCAGGTTGGTGTTGCGCACTGAGCTGTGTGCATCTACTCCGGTAACCACAGCACCCGATAGTCATGAAGGAATGGAATACTACTTGTGTTATAGTATGATACTCGTAGTTAATATTGTTTCTCTTTCTCCTCCATTTCCGGATTTTTCGGCGTTAACGGTAATGACATCCCTGTCAGATTTTCCCCACATCAAATCCCCTAACGGCTCTCAGATTCAAACCCAAAAGTCCAATTGCTCTACGGAATCAATGTGCACTTGCACAATGGGTGCTCACGATAATTCCGGGCTACCGCATCGATCTGTGATATCGTGCCAGGAACCTAAATTGCGCGAGATTCCATTTTGGGGTGTAACCAGCTGTGGTCGAAAGGGTCTTCAATATCTGCAGCTGATGCGGAGTCCACACAGTGTGCCCGATTGTGCAGGTCTATGGCTGGCAAGCTGCCCTACCTTTAGGGTGTCCCATCCATCCCCAGCTTTAGGAGCAGCGGTGGGGGCGAAAGGTCGGAAGCCTAACCTACGGATTCCGGTAAGCACAGACAAGCACGTTCAGAGCTGAAAACGAAGAAACGCCTGGGTGATCTCGTACTATCTGTGTCTTGAGACCCAGGTTAACAAAGGGTTCCAACTAGGCCTCTCCGGATAGTTTCCCAGTGACAAAACTGACGCCATTCCAGAATAACCAAGGCAGTTCGAGATTCCATGCATGTTCGAGATTCCCCCAATCAATACCATTGTCAAGCTATGATCTCCGGCTCGAACTTCCCTGGAGTCCGAAAAGCCACTATGATATCCAGATTTCTGGGATCCTGGCACATTTGGCCCTGTCAATTTGTTCTCGTCAAGCGAAGATCCACATTGGTAAATACGTTATGCTAGTATCACAAACACAGAGAATCTCCCGATTAGTACGGCACGCCGCCCGAACACCCACAGAATTGTCAATTCCCCGTCTCTCCAGAGAAGCCACTAGGGACGCCTCTAACTAGTATAAGAGACCCCTATTCCTCTCTTCCAGCCCCCCCCTCATCAGCAACAGCCCAGGTGATACCCTACAGTCTTCTTCATATCGAAGTCTTCATTTGCGAGCCTCACTATCTCTCCATAATGGCCCCACCTCATGTCGATGATCAGTACTCTGCGGGCTCCACCTACCCACCAAACTGGATTCCAGTTGTGGAGAAACCCCTACGCACCCCGAAACGAGTGAGAATTATTACTGTAGGTGCTGGGCATTCCGGATTAATGCTTACGTACAAGATTAGAAACCAGTTCAAGTACGGGGACTTTATGGACCACATTATCTATGAGAAAAACGTAAGCTCCCCGAAGTCGCCATTCACAGTTATCTGATTTCCACAGCATGATATTGGCGGAACGTGGCTTGAGAACAGATACCCAGGTACATCCCCAAGATTAATATCCCCCATCCCCCCAGCGGGACACTTTCTAAGCCCTTTTTTTTCGACTAGGGGTTGCCTGTGATGTTCCTGCTCATATATACACCTTCTCATGGGAGCCAAATCCGGACTGGAGCGAGTTTTACGTTGGCGGAGAAGAAATTTTCCAATACATGAAGCGTACAACGGCGAAATACGACCTTGCAAGAGATGTTGTTTTCAATTCCAAGGTTGTGGAAGCCATCTGGGACCAGGGGCGAGGTAAATGGGAGCTCAAGATTGAGCAAGAGGGACGATTTATCTGGGACGAATGCGATATCTTTATAAACGCCTCAGGGATCCTGAAGTGAGCCACCTCTCTCCGACCCTCGAACGATTTCTAACCCGATAAAAGTAAATGGAAGTTACCATCCATTGAAGGAATAAACGCTTTCAAGGGACACTTGGTGCATAGTGCGAAATGGTGAGCTCAGGGGCCGTTCGTCAGAATTTGGGTGCTACACAGGTTTACTGATGCTATCCAGGGAGGATACTTACGACTTTGCTGGAAAGAGAGTTGGAATTATTGGAAACGGATCTTCCGCACTTCAGATCGTCCCCAAGCTACAGGAAGTCGCTGGACACCTAGTAAACTTCATGCGTACCCCAACCTGGATTAGTGCGACATACTCTTCTGAGCTTCTTCCTGATGGAAAGAACTTCTACTGTAAGACTCGTTGAACTTCTTTTCATCAAAATTTCTCGCTAACTTTTTGATGACCAGATACAGAAGAGCAGAAGTCTGAATTCCGGAACAATCCTAAGTTGTTAAACGAGTATCGCAAAAAAATTGAGAGCGGCTTCAACAAATTCTTCTATGCCCTTCTCAACGACTCCCCTGCCCAAGCTGCTATAACGGAGCAGTACACACAAATTATGTCCGAGCGCCTCGGTAACGACCCAGAGCTTATCAAAAAATTTATACCAAGCTGGAGAGTTGGTTGCCGTCGTCTATCTCCCGGGGAAGGGTATCTGGAAGCCCTGCAGGCCCCCAATGCGAAATACACATGGGATCCTATCGAGCGCATTACCGAGAAGGGCGTAGTGACATCCGCTGGCGAAATCGAACTGGATGCAATTGTATGCGCCACGGGCTTCGACGTCTCTTTCATGCCCCAGTGGAAAATGCGAGGGCTCAACGGCTCTACATTGGACAAATGGCGGGATGACCCTGAAGGATATTTGGGAATATTCGCCCCCAGCATGCCCAATTACTTCATCGTTAACGGGCCCAATTGCCCCGTCGGACACGGCTCACTGCTCTCCGTCATGGAGTGGACAACGGAGTACATCATCCGCTGGGCCAAGAAAATAGCTTCCGAGAACATCAAGTAATTAACAACCATCCCCCATCAAAGAAAAAATTTCTTCAGAAAAAACGGGCAATTCTAACAAAACCCTTCAGAGCCGTAATGGTAAAGCCCAACGTAGTCCGAGAATGGAATGTCTACGCCCAAGAATACCTCAAGCGCACCGTCTGGACCAGCGGTTGCCGCTCCTGGTACAAGAATGGCAAAATCGAGGGGAAAGTCACGGCAACATACCCTGGTAGCGTCATCCACTACAAAGAAGTCTTGGAAACCATCCGCGGTGAAGACTTTAACATCGAGTACTCCGAGCCCAGGAACAGGTTTGGCTTCATGGGAAATGGTTTCACGGCTCTTGAGATGGATGAGGATGCGGATTTGGCATTTTATATGTATAAGTGAGGCTCTGTAATCGAGTTCTTGCAGACTTAGTTTCGAGATAGCCATTCAGCTCCCGTGTTTGTTAGTTGGGTATATTTGTTAGATTGGCCTCAGGGATTTAATTTGAGTCTACAACGATACACCCGCCTCCACCATTCTCCCAGAAGGCGGTCGAGTGAGGATTTGTGATCTTGGGTATGAGAATCCTGCCGCCTTTAATTGGGAAAGCGTGGGCCATCCCAGCCCATAATACGGTAATACTAGCAAGTCAATCTCCTGGACCGAGGGGAGATATATAGTACCCCCTGCCCCCCTACCTGCCTAATAACTTACAAGCAACCATGCTAGGCCAATCCTTTTAACGAATTATTGAATCGGCGTACCCGCCGATGGTAAGGCATAGTGCACCAAGTAATTGGGCCCAAAATTCTATCCCGAGGTAATACTTGTAAGGATTTCCTTTCCAATAAGCCCAAGGGCGCCGTAGACACGCCTCTCTATTCAAGCACGGACACTGCGTCTACGAGCGGACAGACACATGACATACTGTGAATTAACAGCCCAAGGATAATTACCCCGCCTAACAGCGTAATCCCTTCGCAGACAAGTACCAAGCACATTGACCACCAAGAGTTGAGCACCTAGTAATTTACCCAAGCGGGGTCGGAAAGCAAACTGGATGTGACCAGATGGTTTCCAGCTGTGATGCTAACCAATGGGGTCACGTGCATACTGTGAATACTCAAATAATCAGGCAGGGCACTACACTCTTCGCCACTCTTCCAAAGCGGAGAACCCTGGACCATATACTGTCCACACCGCGCTCACGGCGGGACTGGGCGGGTGAGGATCGGGGATATTTGGTGGGCAAGAGGGGAAAATTACCAAAGCAGGGCAAGAGACTTTGTCGGTCGTTACAGATCCCGGTCCTTCGCCTATCATACCTAGCTCCGTCGTGGGTCGGTGAAGTTCGTATGATATGATAGCATACGCCTCGGAGCTCGATATATTTCGGGTGGAAGGCGTTAGGGAAAGTTGGGTGACATATGCCCACCGCGGCAGCGAGGGGGTGAACTCCGGGGTCTGTTCTTTTAGCTGTGGCCGACTCCTTCTGCCGTTAGGCCACGCTTGCTCTCTAGCCCCCCAGGGAGCGTTTGTATGCATAACCTTACGCGTTGTCGGCCTCACACCGTGTGTATGTATGCGACGCGATAAATTCTTGAATGCATAGAACTAAGAAATCTTCGAGCATACGAGTGGGTGTTTACAGCAGCTTCTGGGGCTTCCCCGGCTATATTTAACCTGGTAGATATATTGCGAACTCTCCGTAGTAGGGCAAGGGAAGCATTCTTACACATCACCGTACTCTTAAAATCTGTGCATCTTTCAAGCTTCTATTCCTGCTCCTATGCAGGCATCCCCGGGTATCTAGGGTCTCAGTGTTGTAGTTCTTGATTGAGGTTGTATTGCTTGCTTGATTGTTACTCTCCCTGAGTGGCTATAGGCCCTTACTTGTGCTACAGGGGGCGAACTAAAACAGTACTAGTACATGACATAGGCTGCATGTAAGACAAAAAGAAAAGTCAACGACAAGAGTACTACTTGTGCATAATTCTACCGCAATAAAGGAAAAGCGAGCAATATTCGGAAGTCATATTACAACACTCAGCAGGACCTTCCATCGAGTGCTAGCCCGTGATACAACAATGCCGATAGAGACATCACTGATAAGGTTCACCTTTCACCTTTGTGTCGCGCAACTCTCTACGGGTCACCGGCGTGAGGAATCTAAGCATTTGAGTTTGAACCTAGTATGGGCACTCAGATGTGTGCAGACGATTCGCCATACAAAATTTTGTCCCCTGAGTTGGGGTTCCGCTGCATGCCGAGGACTTGTAAACCTACCATACCATTCCCCAGGAGAGGGTAACAACCGAGTTCTTATCATACTCCAAAGTAGGCTTAGCTCTTTTTAGGAAAGCCGCAGCTCCCCACAGAACCCCTACGAGTACCGTGATACCAACCCCTGAAGATCCCCCAAAGCATAAGAAAGGCCTCTTGGCTGACCGCCAATTTAATCCCCCCTCACACACACAACTCCGCAAAACAAACCGGTTAATCGGAAACCACCATGGCATTTGTTGATCTCCCAAACGAAATAATTCTGCAAATCGCAGAAGAGCAGGAACCTTCGGATATAAACGCGCTCGTGAGAACCAACCGCCGGCTCGCTTTCTGCTTAACTCCCAGCCTTTGGGCCAGTATATTCCGATCTCCTCCTCAGCTCTATGCCGTGGAAGCACTACTCTCTGCAGCGGAGAACGAAAACAAAGATGTGGTGAAACGGCTACTTGACAAGGGCATACTTCAGTACTCTCAGACACCGCTCTGGAAGATTTTGCGGAAAGCGATAACTGAGTGGGACACGAAGACCCTACGCACACTCATAGAGTGTGGCATGTCGATGGATGCGACGGACCCTGATGGATGGACGCTCTTGGGGTTGGCGGTGGAGAAGGGCTGTTTGGAGACATTTTTGCTGCTAGTGGCTCAGGGCTTCGAAATTAATGAGCCGGGGAGCCCCCGATGCGAATCCCCACTTGGCCTCGCGGCCAGGAAAAAACACGACGAGGTGGTGCAAGTTCTCCTAACCCTCCCGGGCATAAACCTCAATCCCAAAACTGAATTGGCCTCCAATACGCCACTACACAGCGCAGCGAAGGAGGGGGACGAAACCATAGTAGAAATTCTACTAACGGACGAGAGGATAGATGTTAACCCTGTGAACTCCGACGGTTGGACACCTCTTCACATAGCGGCCAGTGAAGGCCATGAGGGGGTAGTGGACCTGCTACTCGCACACCGGGACATCAGAGCCGATCTCCCGGAAGACGCTGGCAAGACGCCAATACATGTCGCTGCCTGTGGCGGGCACAGCTCAATTGTCCGTCGTTTGCTGAACGACCAGTCGGTTAACAGTCTGGACTACTGCCGCCGAACACCGTTATACTGGGCATCCAAGCTGGGATCCGAATCAGTTGTGCGGCTACTGTTACAACACAATGGCGTCGAGGTTAACTTGGCTGAACGCGCGGGCAGGGGGCCGATGCACATAGCAGCATGCGAAGGGATGGAAGGGGTCGTGCAGATCCTGTTACAGGATGAAAGGGTTGAAATCGACACCAAGGATAATTACGGGCGAACGCCATTATGGTGGGCAGCGATGGAGGTCCACGAGGGAATCGTCCGGCTTCTACTCAGCGATGATAGGGTTGATGTCAATCAGCGCAACGATCACGGTGAAACGATCCTGCATATTATGGCCGGATACTGGGGGGATGAGGCGATAGTGCGGCTATTGCTAAGTCATGAGAAGACGATCCCGGATATCCGCGATCATGATGGGAGGACCCCGCTGTATTGGGCTGTCATGAAGGAGCATGACACTGTCGTGCGGCTTCTACCCGGGGATCCAAAAAGCCCGTCCTTGATATAGGTGTATTATGATATCAGGGGAGGAGCGAGGCAATGAGTTCGCCGCCCTAAACAGAGCAAGGGAATACGTGCCGCCGGAGGGCGGGAGGCGACCCCCCCGCTAAAGTGATTGCTTACCCACCTCACTAGAGCGTATCCAAGTTTGCCATACCAGGCCGGACCTCCTATCGGCTGAGTTTCTTTATCCAGGGTCACTTGTATCACATGTATTGTAGTCCAACAACAATCGCTTCACAGCCGACGGACGAAACCAATAACCTGAGTCACGGTATCCCAAGTTTTAGCCCACGAGCAAGCTGTATATCTATTCTCCCTACATCAAGAAAGATAAACCAGTGCTCAAAACCAAGCCCCAAAGCCTGGTCATCCATCGCCAAAAATTACCATACCAAAAAACAAATACAGGTATCACCCCAATAACCCCACCACAGTGATAATCCATGACCAACCCACCTACCGATCCGATCCCCAAAAACCGTCAGTCACCCTCTTTGAGCCGCATGTGTCATCCGTCACCCCGCCATTCCCAACCCATCACAACCTCCCATCCACCTCACAACCACGAAGGAAATCCCCAACAACTCACCATGATCGAAGTAATCTGGTATGATACCTCCCCTTTCTCCCATCTAACTTCCAGAACAAACAAACAGGCTAACACAAACCAGCAACGACCGCCTCGGCAAAAAAGTGCGCGTAAAATGCGAACCGAATGATACGATCGGTGACTTTAAAAGGTTGGTGGCGGCGCAGATAGGGACTTCGGCGGAGAAGGTATGTCTGCTCCCACCAGGAAGGAAGGAAGTATCATAGAGGGGAGTGCTGACGAGGTTGACCAGATTGTGCTCAAGAAGTGGTACAACACGTTTAAGGATCACATCACCCTGGCCGATTACGAGATTAGCAATGGGACTTCTTTGGAGATGTAGGTTTTTCTTTCCAAACTTGGGTTTTGGGTTAGGCTCTGTGCTGATGGGGTGCGTAGGTATTACAGTTGAGCCGGTGGGATAACATGTTTTTGTTTGCTTGCTCGCTGGTTTGTTCGTTGGATCCTCGGATTGGTGGGGGGATATTTGCTTTGCGGAGGGTTTTGATAGATTGATGGTGGCGATTACGGGGCCACTTTGCTTGCCTCTTCCTTTTTTTATATAATTTGAGTTCGTACCAGTTAAAATCTGAACATGGGACACTTTTTGTTGTAAGCGGGAAAACTTATTGACCTTAAAGAAAATTTGAGATATCATACGACTACTTTTGTATCAACACTACCTTCATAGAATAACTACAGGATCAAGAAGAAGAAAAATCACCCTTTAAAATTCATCCGAAAACTCTAAAATCCAATCTCTGAAATCCAATTTAGGATCATGCGTTTAATGGTATGGATTTTATTTTTAAACTAGAGGCTCATTTACTCGAGTACAGTACATCGTTTCATGTGCTTTTTTGTTGCTAGGACCAGGTAGACAGCCACGTCTTTTGCCTAAATTTCATGGAATCCTGCACCTCCCCAGCCTCAATCTCCCTTATCGATTCCTGAGGTATAAGATGAGTATGATAGATATTAAACCATGTATTAAGAACTGCGGTACTCGAGTATCATAAGGCTGGATAGCTTTGGAGCGAGAAAAGGTATGATACCATTCAGAAATTCAGTGATACCGGTATATAAAGTTAATGCAGGACCGTGAAGAAGAGTGAATAGCGGAGGAGAGGGGGTAGAAAAAGGAGAAACAGATATTGAGGAAATCCTAGGCTACCATCCCCCTCCCTCCCTCCCCAACCCGGTCGCGTGCTAGCTGAACCTGTTAAGTTGGGGTACGAGGAAATACAGGAGATATCTGCAGGGCAAGAAAAAAAGTGAACAAAAAGTTGTGTACGGGAAAGGTTCCGCCCAACCGCTACCGGTATTGTTATCGTGTGTTCTGGTAGGGGGGTCTTGGGACGTTCTGGGGGTCGTACCTTTTCCTGGGTGGTGGGCACAGCCTGCGAGGCGAGACTGGCACTATATATATATATAGATATATTTGGAATCACCGTCCGTTCTGCTGCAAGTGAGGCGACGACCTCACTGCTTCTTCATATAGTATCCTCGGTCAATGGCAAACAATGATAGGATTGAATATTCCAATGATGTATGATAGGGTCAACCTCTTTCTGCTCCCGTAAGTAGTTTCCTAACTACTTCTGAATCGCCATTCTCAGTACGGTAGCCCACGAGAGTGCCGCTGTCGTCCGTCCAGCCAGCCACACTTAGATCAACATCTTCCCGCTCCAGGAGTAATCTCGCTACTTCCAGATGTCCATATCGAGCAGCGCGCAAGAGTAGTTGCTCGTTTGAGATGGCTTTTTCATATCAGGGTCCATATATTTTTCCGCTCCAAAAGCAGCTTCGCTACTTCTAGATGCATATTCAGCAGCAAGGCAAACGAGAGTGGCGTCTGGCCTTATATAAGTTATTCAGTATCTTCCAAATCCGGATGAATATCTTCCCGCTCCAGCAGCCGTCCCGCCCCACTTCTATATGCCCATATCTAGCAGCAAGGGGGGAAGCAAGAGTGGTATCGGATCGAGATGATTTTTTTTCTTTTATCAAGTTTTGCCTCTTCCTCTCTTGTTCCCTGTATCATACCGGAACAGCTTTCACACAATTCTCAATGCCCCCATTATTTTTCCCAGTAAAAAGCCCAGGAAGAGACGGGGGTCCATCCGACCATATTGAATATTCCTCCAAACTTGGACGCTGCAGTAGTAGAATCTTCAACAATCCCCTCGTTCCGGTTTTCTGGCAACCACACGAAGTGGTGTGTGAGATCCCTTGTCTTCATATCCCAGCTCTCCCCCCCCCCACAAGAAGAAAATCAAGGCCACTTGCGATTGCACCAATCCCGGGAGAACAGCGATGTCCTGAAGCCCAGTATATAAAGAAAGCTCCCGGCGTTGGGAAGATATATGCTGCAGTTTGAGCGCAAGCTTAAGTACTTTCATGGGTTCTGTCGTCCCCCTTCTAGCATGAGCTCCCCAGTATGATGAGCCGGAAGTGGCCCGAGAGAAGGGCCCTCGGGGAGCCGAACGAACCCTTGATGCATTCTTAGTTTAAGGTTAAGTTAAACATTTTTCCCACAGATTATAATACTTGTAAATAATAAGAAATCATCGAGCGAGCACACGTCCCCCCGCAAATGGGAAATTTTTTGCGAACGAAGTTTCGGTGATAGTCTGCCAGAGTAATTTAACCAATACCGGCGCAGAGTGGAGACTGGGTTGGTAGGGCATTGTCTGAGAGCTATGAGGTTTTTACCCCATAGAATTTCCTGTCTTTGTACATGCCTTGGCATGTAGAATTTCCTGTATTTAAGCTGGGAGCATTTCTTAGTTAGACAATCTCAACCACCCCTTGACAACAGACATTTAGATAGCAGTGCATGCCTATCTAAATCAGATTCAGCTTCACCCCTCTCTGTTTCATCTGCGTTGGTCTATTTACTACAAATGGATCCAAGTCAACTTCCCTTCCTCCATCCATCAGTTTATCGGTCAAGTCACAGAGCAATTATTCCCACAAGGTCCAGTTCGGTCGGACCATCCAACTAAGGGAAGGCACATCAAACCTCCCACACCTAGACATACTTCCGCCCTTCACGCCCCCCCAAGCTCTAGCCAAAAGTGGGCTTTCCATCCTTCATCATGATACCATCACATATACAAAACCCTAAGCCACAATTAACCTTCGCCTAGTCACTTGTTGACGGAACAAATTTCACAGCATAAGGTATCGAGTGAACCTTGATGATGGTAATGAGATTTTTGGCTACCTTGCTATAGCTATCATATTATGATACATTTGCTCTACCCATACTAGTCATGTCCAGCACAGCACAACCCACTTATCCCACATCCTACCCCCATGCCATCCCAGCATTCGACAAGGGGAAAAAAAGATGACTTCTACCCATCCCATAAATGTAACTGCAAAATCCCAACCGTAATATACTGTACAATCTGCGCACCTACCCTATCTCCCCACCTCCCCTTGCTAACCACTCCTACATGTAAAAGTGAGAAGAGAATATTATAAATAGTAGGAAAAATATCGGAAGAGGAAAAATTGGATGAAAAATGAAAAACACAATCTACTAATCCATTTCACCCCAACTAGCAAGTAGCCAGGAAAACTCGGATGGAAAAAAGAAATGGTAAAAATTGAAAAAGGGGGAACCTGGGGAAAGAGGGGGAGAGAAGGATCGATGGGATGCAATGATCAATCAATCAATAGTGATGGTTCCATCGTCATCAATGACGACAATGTCGTCCATCTCTGTAGCTGGCATTTTACCAAGTTTCTTGGCAGAAGCAGGGACTCTATCTTCGACGACAATGTCTCTCCTAAGTTTCTTGGTATCGGGGCCGTTGGATTGGTCTAACTCGTCAGAGCCGATAACCTCCTCAATTGAACGCTTGGTTGCGCTCCCGTTCGCACTGTTTCCGTTTAGTGACGATGGCTCTGGGGTTTCGAGCTTGGCTGATGACTTTTTCGGGATTTCGAAGTAAGCGGGGATGGTAATTGGGGTGGAGTCTTCAGGAAGCTGACTAGGGATAAAGTTAGTAAATAACACAATCACCGGAGAAGATATATGGGCTGACGTGTTGGTAACCAAAACTTCCAGGTTGATTCTTGGATCATCCTCATCGTCCACAACGGTGACAAATGTTTCTTCACTGAATCCTAATCCCTTTAAAGTTCTGTCGATATTATCGTCAAAATCACAATCGTACAACAGTTGGGAAGTCATGACGGTAATTTCTCCTCCATATCTTAAGCCATCTCTCAATACATTGTCCAAAAGATCCCCAAGAGTAGCTCGTTCAATGTCTGCCTCAATGGCAGTCCGGGCTACGCTGCATACTCCGCACGTGGGGTTAGGGGGACTGGGTTTTTCCGTGCAGAAAGCTCGGTCCGCCAAACGAGAGAGGAAAATAGTTCGCGCCGAGGTAAAGTCATCACGAAGAACCTTGAACGCTTGCAGAACGCAAAGACCAGCAGTAATCGCATTTGTAGTTGCAATAGCGGGGATAATATTTCCAGCCATCTCTACTTCCACTTAGTAATCATCCAACAGTGCGTGCATAGTGTAAGGGGGAAACTCACGCTTGATATCAAACTTCGACTTCACATTAATTCCAAAGACCAAACTTCTCAGGTTTGCACTCGCCGCAACAAAATCCAAGGTATCCTCGTCATCTTTATCAAATGTTATGATTGGAGCAGCTTCATCTCCAACCTGATCCCTCTTCATATCCAGTACACGTTCCGCTAATCGACGCAAACTGTCTTCGAACATGATGTAATTTTCCACTAGTGACCAAATTTTCTGGTCATTCTCAGAAACCTTGGCATCAATACCCTTGGCTTCATCTGAGACCATTTGATGGTCAAGAGCCTCTGGCGGCTTCCGGGACTTCCACATCTCATCCATTGACCGAAGGCGGTTGATGTCATCTCTAAAAACTTTATTAAATACGGTAGCGGCGAAATCGGGAGAGTCCATCTTTTCGCGGATATTCTTTAGTTCTTCCGCTTCCCGTTTTAGATTTGCGATTTCGCGGGCTGGAATCAAAGTCAGCTGATTATTCTGGGTGAACGATAAGTGTTAAACAGACAAAAAAAAACACCTACAATTCTCAGAATCCTCAGTTGGGTCTAGGTCGGGCGAACTCTCTTCTGAGGTTCCAAAAATTTCACTATTCACCAACAGTAAGCCAGCTGTATTTGAAACAAATAGTGAGAACGAACACAAGAAGATAACTCTTAGCCCAAACAATGCAATGAATAGGCTGGCTAGGTGTGCTCCGGATAGTACACACCGGGAAGCTCTTGGGAGTTGCTTTGTGCGTGCAGTCGTAGCATTCAGTTTTTCCCTTTCGGGTGTAAGCATTATCACAAATCCCTGCGGGGGAGGCCCCAAGCTCACCCGCTTGATAACCTGAACCTGCCCATCAAACCCGGTAGTACCGCTCTCGATCAAAGGGACATCCGCTGACAGGCACATCTTATTGACGTGTCTCCGCGCTTCGAGATTGTCTAGAGCATTGAATACCACATTGAAGCCCCCGAACCACTTGACGTTGAATTCGGGATCCTTGATGTTGGCGTGGTGAGCCTCGAGCTTGACATTGGGGTTGAATTTTCCGGCAGTCTCCTTCGCCACCTATGACAATCCCCGTCCAATAAGCCCCAGTAACCATCCCTGTAGAAGAGGAAGAGAAAAATGGCTCATACCATAGCCTTGGATTTTTTGATATGCTGCATCCCGAACAAGAACTGGCGGTTGAGATTGCTCAGGTCAATGGTGTCCATGTCGACAATGTGAATCTCTCCGAATCCCGTCAACACCAGATTCTTCAAAAGTTCACAGCCGATCCCGCCGGCGCCAACCATAAGAACTCGTGACTATGGATGCGTAAGTCAGTAGATGAAATGAAATCATGAGGAGCACCATTTCCAGCCTCCATACCTCTTTGATCTTCATATGGAAAGTTCCGAGCGACTTGCGTGCATTCGTGTCGCGCCCCATAGTTTCTAGGATGGCGATGTAAGAGAAATATGTCCGCGTCGGGAATACCAGTATATAACAGTAAAGTAAAGTAGGGGAAAGGAAGAGAGAAAAGGAGAGAGCGAAAGCAGACGAAATGGGGGAAAATAGAGATAAGGCGGCGGTAGGCTTTAGGACCGGTATTTGTTAACGGCTTGACCAGGATCAAGAGGCTCTGGAGATGGGGGCAAGGATGATTCGCGAGGCGGGAAGAAGGTCCGAATGCCCGAGAAGCAATCACGAATGATTGAGGAGGATCTTCCGGTACGATGGGTTAGAACAGCTACGATAGTAGTCTCTATCCAGAGAAAATCAGTCGTAGGAGGAGGCGCAAAAAAATTTGTGATTGTGATTGTAGAGGGAAGGGGGTTGTGGTGATGCTGACCTACAGTACAGGTACCCTTACCCTTACTTGTTTTCAGTCTAGCGGTGGTGGGAATTGTTAGGTGAGGGGAATAAGCATGGGAAGAGCTAGAGTGAGAGGAGGTGTAGGGCGAGGAAAGAAGTTTCCCTCGACCTCGTCACTGTAAGCTTAGGTTAGTTTTGTCTAGGATTCTTACCTAAGAGATGGTCTGTGCCATTGAGCTATGATAGATTTGAGTTAGACTAGGCTACCAGTACGAGTACTGCTTGCTGCAAGACCTCCCTTCCCTCTGCCTTGGGGGTGATTGGAAAGAAGTCTTGGCACGCGGGAGAGCAAAACAGCGTTTTCCCCTTTCCCTTTTTTTTCCTTTTTTCATTCCTTTGTCTCAGAACGAGTCTTACCTCGTGCCAGATTTCCACACAGGATGCACGCAGGCTGGAAACAGCATACATACACCTTACCTTTAAAAGAGGACACCAAAGCAACCGAGGTAGCTATTAAAATAAAGAAATTTCATCCCCAAAAAGTCTCAAAAAATCCCTACTAATAATGGATTTTCCTCCCCTTCCAGGTGCATAAACTCCGTCATTATAAAAGATTTTCTCAAAAAAGGGATTCCCGGAAAGAAATAAGCAACACAATGGACGACGTTGACCATGATCTCCTTGCATTCATGCGCGAGGCAATGGGCTTTACCAAGGCAGTTAAGAAAGGCCCACGAGAAACGGGCGTTCTCGAGAGCGCGCGGTATATCTTTGACAATTCAATTGACATCGCATTGGACCGAGACTCGGTGGTTCAGGCCGCAGAGTCAATCTACAACGCTATCCAGCAAAAGTCCTACTCGACTCAGACATGGTCAGAGCACGAGCTGCACCCGAAGGCGAAGGACGAGGATACCTTGAATTTCATATTCACAATGGATGTGCTGAACTTCAGTTTCTGGAGCGAGGAAAGCGAGGATACGAGATTCTCGGTGGTATACAATGGGAAGAAGTATACAGGCTATTGGAGCTTGGTAGCCTTGATTAATCGAGCTTTGGACGAAGGTCCCTACTGCCCCCGTTGTATATTGGCAACAGTCCAAGCTTAACAAAGTATTAAACATTGTAGGAATCCCAATAACTTGCCCCTTCTTCGTCTCGGACCCAGATATCTGTCCCGATTCCCTCTTGGAACACGTCTTCCGCTCAGACTCCGAGGAGCAGATACCCCTATTACAGGACCGGTTAACCTGTCTCCGGGAATCAGGGATGATCCTATGTGAAGTAGTCATTCCCTATCCTTCTACACATACACACCTCCCTCCCTGCCCTCACTCGTGGCTCAGTGCTGACGTGATAGAGGTATGACGGAAGCTTTGCCAACTGCATTCGAGAAGCCGGCCAGTCTGCATCAGAACTGATTATGCGGGTTGCGGACAACTTCCCTTGCTTCAGGGACGAGTTCAAGTTTGAAGGGCGGAACGTGAACTTTTACAAGAGGGCGCAGATACTCATTGCTGGTAAATAAAACGCTCCCTCCCTTCCTCCATCCTACCTCCTACCCAACCTCTAATTAGCATTCGGGGACGAATAGATATATGGGCCTGCTTCAACTCAACCTCGTACGGCTCCTTCTACGATATATCCTCCGTGACCATGTTCGCAGACTACAGGGTCCCCGTAATCCTCCACTCCATGGGATGTTTGATGTACGCCCCCAAAATGGAGGGTCATATCCGTGCACGCAAACCCATTCCCTCCGGGCATCCCTGGGAATTACAGCTACGGGGGACGACTATCTGGTGCGTGGAATTGATAAGGAGAGAGATTGAAAAAAACCATCCCGGCTCCAAAATCAACGCTATCTTGATCGACTTTTACTTGTATGATACGGCGAAGGAGATGGAAGAGCGAGGGGAGGATATGATTCCCACCCATCGGACGAGGAGTATTTGGTATTAGATGGTTTGGGCGTTGTTGCTTGGTTGTTTTTTCTACTTTCTTATTCTCTTTTTCTTTTTCTTTTGGTGGTGTTTGAGGCCTTTACAGATTCCATTTGATAGACATGCCGAATTCAACAGAGTTAAGTCTGTGCAATTTTGGGTCGGAGGAGGAGGGAGGGGGGTTTCCTTTTTCTTTCGTAAATCTGGTTTGTTCATGCTTAAATATGTGTTTGTTTTAGAAGCAAAAAAATGTGAAAGACTTTAGAAGTTTGCTCATGAAAAGTCCATCGGATCAAACATGTGAAGCGATTGAAAGCGTAACTCAAAATGTGAATGATGATAGAATTTCCCCATAAAGCGAATCCATGAGATCAAGCACATGAGCGAGGTGAGTGAGGGAAAAAAATGAAAATATCGAGAATCTGAAAATGAAAATGAAGCAAAGCATGTTCCCGTTATCCATCCACCAAAGCGGTCAAGAAAATCTCAGGCGTTCCCACGATAGAATCCACCCATGAAAAAGCAAATGTCTGAAACTCCACCCCGTCGCCCAATCTATGAAATGAAATAGAAACAAAAATAAAAAGCACATAGAGCACCGACTGTATAAAGAAGAGAAATGTCACATTTGAGATATCCGCCCAACGCCAATCCTTCCTCTCTTCCTTCCTAGAGCCATTCCATATAACGCCATCCGTCCATGAACCCATATCCCTAAAGCAAACCCCGAAAAAAAGAGATATAAAAATAAAAAAAAACAGCCCAAGCAATGACAAGAACGAGAAACCCGCATCTAACACTATCGACCCTCCCTCCCTCCCTCCCTCCCTCCCTCTCCCGACAATGCCTACCCCCAAATATCCAGCAAACTCTCCAAATACGCTCTCCTGCTATCCCTGCCGAAATCGGAGCCCACGCCGACCCCATCCCTCAACTCCTCGGCAAGAATAACAGCAAGCACCTCGACGGGCGGGTTCAACCCGAACGCCTCGGCACGCTTCCACCTCTGCCAGCGTGTGGGGCCGATGCAGGGGCCGTACTTGACCTGCATGTCGAAGTTCCTAAGGATCTTCTCTTGCATGCAGAGGTACTGCTGATGGGTGGGTGGGCATCCCATCGGTTCCAGAATTTGTGAATTGTAGTAGTTTTGGATTTGCTGGAGGGATATAGTTATGGCTTTGTGTATGGAGAGTGTAGGTGTTAGGGAATTTTAGGATTCGGTATGAAGGGGGAGGAAAGAGTAAGAAGGGGGGGGGAAGAAGAAGGGGGGGGGGAAGGGGTACTGGGGGAAGCCGATTTC